TGTGCATGCGCTTTTGCGCATATCTGTTCTCGACTGAGCTGACGGGTGTGGTGTGAAAGATCTAGGCATACAAAAGCCGGAAAATTTGGTAGTCCAAAACTTTGCATCTATGAGTAATAAATTCCCCTGCAATCAAGTGGAAAATCTACCTCTAATATTTTACTATGCAATGGTAGGGTAGAGCGGGGCTAGTTGAGCATAGGGGCAAGTTGGGCAATCGAAATATCTCGGAAACTATTCACCTTACGCGGGAGTATCAAATAGCGAAAAGAAGGAGTGGTAGGAGAGGTAATCATCGCACGATAGCTAGTGGCAGCTCGACGAGTGAGTGAAGTGTCACGGCGTTTTGTTTATTTTGTGACCAAAAAGTAAAAACATTGTTTATCGCAAGTTTTCGTCTGTCTTTGTCAAATGTTCTCTGTTTTCAATCAGGAGAGTGTTAATCTTTCAGAAGATTATTGTATTTTTGATTTGTAAATAGGTTTTGGGTCTAATTCTAGGCATTTATTTACAATCCTACTTTTCTTTTAAAATTTCGGGTTGGGGTTGAGCAACTATAGCTCAACTAACTCTACGACTTAAACAACTGATGAGTAATGAATCTTTTATTTTTTGTTTGGATGCGGACTTACAAGAGGAAGATTACAAGATGTTCTTACACTACTGAATACTTAAATAATGCTGCAAAGGCTGTCCACGATGAGGGAAAAAGTGTGAATACCGCCGCTAAAGAATTCGGTATTGGTTGACTTTTAAATAAATTAAATGAAGATGATGATTTATGGGCTATACAACACCGATGGAAGTATATCCTCTCTCACAAGAGAACTGTTGAAAAAATTCTTGCTACAAATGGCATTTTTCTCCAAAAGACGTCCGTCCCTTGCCTAAGAGTGTCTGAAATTCCACCAAGCTGAATTGCAAAAAGATTTCCGGAAAAAGAATGGTTGATGATGTTTTAAAAACAAAAAAATCGTAGCTATCCATACAGAAACCAGAACCCACCAGCCTTGGTAATCTTTTTTTAGAAATTATCGGAAGTAATGGATAGATATGGATGCTCGTGTTTTGTTGATTCTAGTTACGGTACAAAGAAAATTTCTTTAAATTTTGTTGTTCTGTCAATAAAAGACTATAAATAATAAGCTGACTGTCTAACACATATTTTATTTCATCTCAAGTTAACATAGAACCCATGGTTTGGTCTAGACATTCTTAGTGCTCAACTTGCCCCATACCCTTGCTCAACTTACCCCACCTATGGGGTACATTGAGCATACTTGACTTTCTGCATTTAAACATCTGTAGCTATTATATTGGACTTGTTACAAAAAAATACTATGGACACTTTTGTTAAGGGATAAATTACTAATCCATCAGGACACAACAACTCATTGAGACTTATCATTGATATAGCTCATATCCAAGCAAGTGAAAAATTGCTCAACTAGCTCCGCCCTACCCTACATTAAAAAAACTTGTTTAACGGATGTTATCGCTAATTTATTACATTATAAAAAAAAAATTGTACTCGCGCAAACCATAGACAATTTTAAGAGTTTAAGTGTTAGGTTACAATGTGAAATCTATACCAAGACGGTTGATTTATACTTTACCATGTCCGTTGTTAAAAAAAAAGATGGATAGAAGAAATAGTAGCAGTAACAGGAATCGAATGGGGAAAGAGAGCCATAGAGTCAGTTGGAAAAGGCTGGAGGAGGCCTTTACCCGTGAAGGGGTTCCGACGGTACAGAAGGAAGCTAGGATATACGATAACAAGCTAAAGAAAAAAAATGTATAAAAATGTAAAATAATCTCAGCTGTATATTATAATTTGATTTTGTCATTATTGGAAATAAAACGGGCTTTATTATTATCTCCGTTGTTTCCCTAGAGATAGCACAATACGACTCGTGCCAGAATTTGAACGGTCAGCAAAACAAATGCAACACAATACTTAATAAAATAAATTACAATCAGCAGATCTCCTTACTCGGAAGTGAATCGGCCAGTGAACCCGCGCTAACGCGAAACTGACTAAGCCTTTTTAGCCACGTATCGCTTTGTGTACTTGTATCGTTTGTTTCATATTGTTACCTACTATACATTTTCAGCGATTAATCACGAACCAGCCTTCTATTACAGAACTGAATGAAACCTTTTTCCGTTTAACAGATACTCTATTAGATCTGTCTCCTTGGTCATGATTATAGGTAAATTGTTTTCTGTGCAAAAGAATATTGTTTTGCTATGATTAATACTATAGCTATATATATATATGCAACTGCAGTAGGAGAGTGGTTACAATAATATACAAAAAAATACCTTATTGGCTTACAAATTTTTTCTAATGTTACTCTCTATATAAATTAATTAGTTTAACTTTTTAAATTGGTTTGAATTTTCTATTTATACATGTTTAATTATTATTAATATGTAGGTTAAGAATATTATATATATAATATATTTGTGTGTTGGAAATAAATCACTTCATATTTCCTGAATGTAAATGGATGTTAGTTAAAGACAATTCAAACAAAAATATCCTTTATAAGCGAAAAATATATCACACTAGTGTAAAGTATTATCTTAGCATTTAAAAAATTCTTGAATGCGTCAACACAATTGATAATTTTCCTTCCTCCTGCGATATATTATTAATGCATAAACGCAATACTTTATAACATAAACCGCTTTTAATATAAAACGGATTTAAACACGTGTAACATTTTTTTTTGTATTGATTTCGTGTAGTATAGTCGTTGTTTCAGACAATGTCAATTATTGTAAGTAAACTAATTCGTCTGATGTTCAAACACTGATTTAAAAACCAATATGAAATCCATGAATCATAATTACGTTTTTCAAAGCGTTATGTCATAGGAATTGACTGTTGACATTGGTTAATGTGACATTGACTTAAAACGTCTAGAAAAATCAAATTTATTCGACCACCCATTACTTATTGACCATTAAAACTATATCAGTGTTATCAATTGTTTAAGCTGTAGAAATGTTACGTATAAGTAGTCTGTACTGTGGGCTAAGCTAACGTATTTGGCCTAATTCAAAACCTATTCGTTATTTCTAGACGAATCGATAAAATAATTTAGCTGTGACAAGCTATATATTTTCCGCAATATGTCATCGACCCCGATATGTAACACACACATATACTTATATGGCGGATATGACTACATCGCTGCAATCTATTTAATGCACTCAAATATATACGCTTGCACATAGTTTGTTTAATCAAATATTTTATCAAACACTAATAACTGGTTTAAACGCATTTATTATTTATTTTGACAATGACTTTAAACGTAAAACACGTTATGCAATTTTAAATTCAAAGTAAATAGTTACATAATGTTCATTATTTAATGATTTTATTTATACTGTATTTATTGTGATTTTATATATATAATACTAAATATATCTATATAATTGAAATATTAATGAAATTAAAAGGAAAACACTTACTGAGCGTTATTTTAGTTTTCTCCGATTGCAACAATTATAATCTGTGATAAATACGCCCTCAGTAAAAAAAATATATACAAAGTACTTGCGTTGACAGTATTTTGACTAAAATTTAATAAAATTGTAGTAGGTAATTTCTATTTTAAGAAATATAAATGGAAATTGTTGTTATCAAATTAAGTTAAATTGTAACGTTTCATTTTAACAATTGAAAATGACCTAAGAAGAGATATGTCAAAAGAAACGTATAAATGATAACACAGTTCAACTTGTACAAAATAAATTAGTCCAATTGCGGTGTTTTAACTTAAGTACTCATCTGTCTCTTTTCATCACAGCCAAAACATAACTTGAAGAAAGAAACGAAAGTGTACTTTAGATGTGAGCGCAATGTTTTAGTTGTTTTAGGTTTAAAGGCATTAATTATAATATTACATTGCAAAGCTTCAAAGAGCAAGTCAGCTTCGAAATCTAACGCCTTATTAGTTAATGTCTTACGACCTTATTACTCACTCGTAATATATAATTATTATCTAATGAGCAACTTAGCTACGAATTTTATTTATTAACACTTCGTTGAAACGTACAAAAAAATAACTTAAATGATATTGGATCGCTGGCGCGATCTCTTCCAAATTTTTTCCTTTCTTCAAATTTTACAGACTGAGTTTTTAACATTTGACACCAACTTACATGAAACTAAAGCTTAAGTAACTATTAGCCCTAATGAACCTCGCTACCCTAAGCGTTATTAACATTTACCCACATTAAAAAAGTTGTATTGTGCATATCCTTATCGGCTATTGTGTAATCAGTTGAATAATATCACATTTCTTAACTGTTATATTGAAATTTAATTGAAAAATTAACTTATTAGTTACAAAGTGATTGTAATAAAACATTTCCTCTTCTTTTTAACTTCGCAAGTAACATAGATGTGATTGGATAATTGCACTTTTATCTTAATAACGTTATGTAAATGCTGATAAGTGATAATTTGTTATGTGCGAATTTTAAATGAGTAAATAATAATCTTATGCGTCACATATTAATTGTACTATATTGTATTAGATCAAATTGGTACAAATTCCTTAAAATAAACAGAACTAATAATTTTACTAATTTATTATAATTATTTGAACATAGATTTTTTAAAGGTTTCTCAAATGTTGCCTGTGTATATAATATGAATAATGAAATACCCATCAGATCGTTTTACGTGAAATGCCGTAGCACATAGCGTAGCGTCTACGAAAAAAAGTAACATTCTAAGTCTACTGTAGCTTTTCATAACAGAGCTTTTTAATTTTTGACTATCTTATACGTGTGTTCTTCATAAATTTACTAAACGGTCTTAATATTTTCTTGTAAAATATGTGTAGGAATAATTTTGTTATATCTATAGTTAATAATAGTGAAACTTATGCATATTATACGTTTCTGTGTGTTTTCTATTAGTTTTAGCAACATCTGTAAAAATACGTAATTTCCTGCTTTAAATATAGACACATAACTTATCGCAACATTCCACCGAATCGTTTGCAATTCCGTTCCGCAAACAAAATAATTACTCGAACATAAAACTTACTGTATCTCTTCATAAGTGATTTCTTGTACGCTTTGCCGGACATCGGATCGTCGCCGGGGCTGAGGCGGCCGGCAGAGTCATCCGATTCTGTGCCGGAGTCTCGTCCGGCGGCCAAGTACTCCCGGGATTGCCTGAGGATGGCCTGGGCACGCACATAGTCTGTTGGATCCGCGAACGAATGTCTAGCGAACTCGCGAACTGTTATTTCTTTACGCGTATGAATTGTCAAGTCTAGAGGCGCATCATCAGAATCCGGGTAGGCTTTGCGGGCAGCAAGGGTTCGCGGTTCCGGCTCGCTCATTGCTCTCCTGTCGGGCGGGGGGGATCTCCGAGGATCGGGTCCGGCGCTTGCCGGCCGGCCTTCCACGGCCATCATCATTAATTATTCACACGAACACCATCACAGTTATGTCATAGAGCGTAATGTTCCACGGCGCGTCCGCTCGCAATCGCGTCGCGTTGCTGACTGATGTCCCAGTTTCCACGGTGAGTTCTACTGACTCGGTGAGCCCGCTCGGCCCGACTCGGCACCAATCGGGCACTTTCGTTTTCGATTGTGTACCTGTGTGAGTGTGCACACAGAGATCTATGCTCGTGTGGAGCTTTTCCACTTTCATTTGAGCTTTCCTTATTTTCCTCGTCGGGCAGGTTTTCACTGCTTGTCTATTAATTAGTTCTAGCAAACTCCATTTTATTCAGCTACTCGTTTTTGTTTTCAATGATAGCGCATTCAGTGGAATTCAATATTTTGTATCTTTCCCTGTGACCCACTTAATATCTGACTCAGTGTTGGCAGTGATATAGCCGGACACATAATTCAAGTTATACAACTCGAAAATTGTATTCATTACACAATGCCATTAGTTTAAATAGAGATCTCAGATAGCTCTCATTGTAGGTGCTCATTTGAGCTTCAAGATTGTTTCGTCTTTTAAAATACTTTAAGATACTATAAAAAATTAAATTATTGCTTCTTTGGATGATTGGAAATATTTTTAATTCGAGAAAGATGAAGTTCAACCCTTCTGATAACATTAAGATAAATCTTATATAATGATACTCATCGAATTAAAACAAAAAGAGACCTCTATACTAGGCCGGAACGAACAATCAGAAGTTTTGCGTAATACAACTACGTAAACAAAGTTTTTTTTTATCTAATACTCGGGGCATTGACCGACTTAACAAATAATGTTGCGCGTGCGACGACCACGTGACACACTGACTCGGCCAACGCAAGCTGGTCTGTACGCGTAGACCAAGTGTACGCGACTTTCATGCACTCTATGGGTCGAGCGATAATGGTTACGAGAGTAGGACCAATGTCAACTGTATTTGGATTTGATAATGGCGGCCCAAATCTCATGGTGTTTCTAGTGTACATAAATAGCACGTTTTTTATAAATACATGTTATCATTGAGGTTATTTGTTTGTCAATTGAGTTCTAGTAACTTTGGCCTTAGAAATTAGAGCTTGTTTCATGAGGCTTTGATAGTTGATAGATAGGAAAGTGACTTACATAGGCTTAGGAACCAACTAAGACCTAGGTGTTAAACGCTAAGTATGACTCCGTATCAACTTTTTTTCTTTTCTTTTTTTTCCATGGACACTCATTGTCAGAGGGCTCGCAAGTGCGTTGTCGGTCTTTTAAGAATTGGTACTCTCTTTTCTGAAGGACCTTAAGTCGAATTGGTTCGGAAATACTTCAGTGGCAGCTGGTTCCACATAATGCATTTGATATAGGAGAGTCGTCGAAGGCGACTCTGAATCTTTACTGTAGACTAGTATTTTGTCGTTTTAAATGGCATAAATTAAATTCTATAAAAATATTTCCCTTTTAAAATTTTATTTACAATATTGATAACTCAATCAATAAATGCAAACCTATTATTATAAAAGATAAATGTTTGACCAAATTGACCTAATAACAACAAAATAAAAAAATAAAAATAAGAATTAATGGCATCTATAAGCTAGATGGATGATCAAATCAAGAAAGGCATGTCCGTGATGATTGGCGCTGGGTTGTAAATATAATGGTTACTCTAAAGTGTCCACGACCGTACTCTTAAAAGCGTACCGATTTTAAAGAAGAATGATCATTTAAGGGTTAAGTTTTAGTTATTTTTATTTTTAGACAATGCTAGGGGTATGAATGTCTCACATCACATCTTCATACCTATGAATATTCTTTTGAACCCCAAAAAGCACGCTAAAGAAGAATGTATATCATTCTTTTAACGTTTTATAAGGAATATTTTTAAAATCAATTATGACTTTAGCACCCTCACCCTCTTTCGGTAAAGTTTATATCGACCTCTTGGACACTCCTTCTTACAAACAACCAAGTCTGGACGGGACTCAATGAACTCTGTAGCTCATATTTAAGCAGACAAAGGCCTATTTTATGTCCTAGGTATCCCACGTACCCCAGAAAATACGAGGGACTGACTGAACCTTTTGCTGCCGGAGGTCAGCAAAATTAAACCGGCTCATATTTTACCAGACAGAGGCCTATTTTATGTCCTAGGTATCCCACGTACCCCAGAAAATACGAGGGACTGACTGAACCATTTGCTGCCGGAGGTCAGCAAAATTAAACCAGCTCATATTTTACCAGACAGCCTATTTTATGTCCTAGGTAACTTTACGTATTCCCCGCACCGCAGAAAGTACGAGGGACTGACCCGGTTAACTATTTGCTCGGAGCTCAGAAGAATCAAAGCCCCAGCCCATAAATATCTGGGTTAGTCTCCAACCAAAGAGCTGAGTCTAAGAGGAAAGTTGATAGCCAGGTAGGATTGGAGCGAACTGCTGAAACATTGGTTTTGCAAGTATGATTATATATGAGTTTTCAGTGTGATAAAATGTTTCCTCATTGCCAAACTATTAACAATCTAACACGACACTTGCCGGATAGTCCTTATCAAAAGGTTAACTCGGTCGGGCATCGAACTGACTGTTCATAATGATTATGTAACAATATCTTTTATTCATCGTGGAAATTTCCCTGAAAATGTATGTATTCTTCTTTTATGTATTTTGAGACTTATGAATATTCATTGATGTTAGGAAGCTGAATTGGCAGAAAATGTCGCTTTGACAATTTATTGATGTTATATTTAAAAAAAATAGATTTTTTTTTATATAACATCAACAACAGTTAACCTGCTGTTAAGGGATACCGCCGCCTATAGACACTCACATTGCCAGAGGGCTCGTGAGTGCGTTGCCGGCTTAACGTACTAAACGTACTAAAAACCTAGGTTTACAATCTTACAAAAGTAGTATTTAGTTTATGCAAGTATATTTAGACGTCTTTAGGTAGTAAATTCGTGTTTAAACAAAGGAGGTTTAATGATTTGTAAGTGACAGGTAAGGACTAGCATTTGTACATTGTTTCTATGAATAATGATCCACACATTATTAAGTCTTAATCTATTATTTCCTTATTGTCTATTTTTACGCGCGATACATCAATATTGTTATTTGTTTAATATAATTTTTAATATATTAAACACTAAGCGCCAATTTGTCACTCCTATTTACAGTTCCCGCAGAACCAAATACCCATAGTTCGAAAATGGCAAAACAAGCAAAATCGCCACTCACAATGACCGCAGATCTTAAAATAGAATAAAAATCGATCAAGTACTTAGATCATCAATCCTGGTTCCTTTGGCGCCGTCTGAGAGAGACGGAGATATGATCTAGATATAGGAATTTAAGACATTCTTGTGAATACATATTATTAGGTAGTTGGTAATCTTACATAAGGTAAAATCTAAATTCCAAAAGTAATAGTTTCCTTATTTTTAATGATTATTTAAAATCTATCTGAAGATGGTGATGACTCTTTATAACGGAATTATTTGTCTGGAATGTTTTAAACAATAAAAAATATCGAGTGCAATAATTGCAAGATCATTTCCGAACTGATACGGGCAAGTGCAGTCGTTGTACGGTTTCAAGGACACGCTGCGCATACGCACACATGCATAGCAGTAGGGGTTGCACACATGATTTAAGAATCACGATTATTTGTCCAAAAACTTGAATAAAGGCCTTCCTGTCCTTCCTCCTTCATTAGAAGAAACATCGAAAAAGAAGAATTGTCTGGTAAAAAAAGTAATTCTGTCATATTTGTTTAGCAATGTTTTAAGAGACCGAGTAAAGTTAAAATAGTTTTAACCATTCAAACACTTGTATTTTAATTTACTTTATGTTTGAAACTAAATATTACGTCATACATCAAAATTGAAATAAAAAGTAAACTTGCGATTTAAAACTATAGAAACGTGCAAAAATTTGAATGAAATTTGATATACATTATACATATTAATATGCAAATGTTTATGACATCAATTAAATGTCGACAGCCCTAATACCGCTCACACAAACACACACGTATTCGTATAGTAATTGGCGACGATTAGTACGGTAAAGTTTTTTATAAAAATAGTTCGAACCTTGTTGGATTAGGTGCAACACTTTGCATTTAGTTCTCATGTAATAATATTCTTAAACCTGTTTTCATTTTCCTGAAGAGCAGAGGCTCAATAGGTAAAATACGCAGGTATTTTGTATGAACATTGTAAAAAACTACGGATTTTTTACCATATTTTTATTTAAAATGGAATTGAACACGCACACATTAAAACATTTCAACAAAAATTACACACGCGTAAATAAACGTCTTTTTATACAATAGAGATGGAGAAATGTGGCTCCCCTATTGGAAGGTTAAGTATTTAAAAACACTTGACTAGATTTGTCTCTGAAGTTAAATGTCTTCTCTTATTATTTTTTAGATTTAAATTTAAACACAACTGAGCGTTTTTTACGGAAGTTATTGCCGCGCATATGGAACCCACTGAAGCTATTTCCGAACCGAGGAAAGAGCGTACCAATGCTTAAACCGCCGCCAACGCACTCGCGAGCCTTCTGTATTTTGTACCACTTAACATCAGCCCGCCCGTTTGCCCACTGTTCTATTTAAAAAAACTAATTTTATAAGTGTCAAACAAGCTTGATTACTGCGTTTTAATCCATTACTATTATTCTCATTAGAACTATATTTTCCAATTATACGTATGGGTATAATATCTTACTCGAACCTGTAAAAATATCACTGTGACTTTTATATAATTTAAAAAGACTTCGAAAAAAGTTAAGTACAAAAATTATCATATAATCATTACGATTTACACACGCTAGTCCTCGTCTTTTCTAGAGTTTTCGCGAAAACTGAAGTTATTAAGTGTTAATGAAAACAGAAATTTCTTCATCCGGTTTATACGATAATGAAAATAAATAGAAAACAAAGGCGTTGACAAGCATTAACAAGTGTTTGTATTGGGTTGCCTTGAGAGCTGAGTGCCGGGTCATTGGTGGACATTAGATATAGTATTTATTGATTAGACTAGACAAAACCATTTATTTTATTATTTGTAGAAAATAACCCAAACGGCTAACTGTCTTGCGCAGATTACAATTGACAAGATTTAAAAGTTTTAATTTAAAAAAAATTACGGATGAAACGCAATAATAATAATATTAGCGCCACGAAGATGTGCAGCGTTTTTGTTGATGAAAAGGGAGAGAGCGATTGAGAACGATTGAGAGAGAGTGAGAAGGGCGAATCACCTTATAGAAATTCTATTTTAAAAAATAAAATTTCGTAAAGAGAATTTATGAAATATTAGTATTTTATATTTTATGCAAAATAATTTATTGAAATCTCAAATGACGAATTGTAAATGAAAATGCCACGTGTTTTTATTATCGAAGAAATAAATTTAAATAAATTTATTGTATTTATTTTCGTCACTTTTAATATTTTAATGATAATTAAAATTTCATTAAATTCCTAACATTTCTTCCTTTTTCCCTCCCTCTAAGTCACGGAAATCTAAAGTTTTAGATTTGTATGAATATGAACAAGACTTAAAAATTAGTTTGCCAAAGAAGTTTCACTTCTGACATGTGTAGGTACTTTGTACGCACGCACTTTTTTTTCATAACCAGCTAACTTCCTACTTCACGTTAGATTGAGTTCATATGTTAATCTTTATATTTACGTGGTTTTCAGTTTTTATATAGGTATTTTATTACGATTAGTTATATTCTAACAAACTCTATGGTATCTAGTACATATCTCGTAAACTTAAAGCCGAACGCAAAGAAGTAAAACCAATTTAAAAGAGACAATAATTGCAACGTAATTGCTTCTTATTTGTGTTACCAACTGCTGTTTCTACCTTTCGTTATACCGACGTCTAAACGTATATGGATACAATAGGCGTCGAAGTTTGCACGCAACAAAAACAGGCAAGCGGTAATCTCAGTAAATTTTCACTTGAGAG